AATATACAAAACTGTCCTTTATATGTCTTACATTGCGTCTAACTATGTTTAATAAATAAAACTCAAATTCTATGTATTCTTGGCTTGTAATTTAATTAATGAATTTTAATCTTCATTTATTCATTATAAAATTGGAATCACAAAATTGTGCATTGTAATCATGGTTTTTACTAAAGCCATTTATATAGAAATTGCTTCATATTCAACTTAAATTAATAATTAGTGAGCTAAAACCATATATTTAAATTATTGTTAATAAAATGTGTTTTTTGTTCCTTTTGACTTAAATAAGTTTTACACGAATAATTAAAAAATGTGGACATAAAAAGGCATTATGATTTTAATATGATTTAATAATACTTATTATTTTATTTATTAAAATCAATCCCAATTATTGCATTAAGTGTCACGTAATAGATTCATATAATTTAGTTTAATAATATAGGAATATTCCGACTATTTATCAATTTATCTGACTTATTTAGCAAAAACGGTTATAAAAATTCGAGATATTTTCATTATTGTGCTGAAACTATGTATCTGAACAAAAAACACGCGAGAGGTTTTAAGAAGCTACAATTTTTATCTATTATTCTATAATTTTCTTTATTTTGTAACTTAAATAAAATTATATAATTTTCTTTCCTGTGGTAAATTTTTAAGCTTCTAAAAAGGTAAAAACCGTTAGGAAAATCGTGAAGCAGGATGTAGATTAAATTCCAGAGCCTCCTCTCGCTAGACCTAAACTTAGTCAAAAAAAAATGTTATGATCATTCTGCATAGAGCCGACATGAGCGCGACAAAGGGGCGAGCGTTCCATATCGTGGGCCATCTGTTTTGACTCTTAAATTACAGGCCTTTTCCTCTTTTCGACACAGAAAGACTTTTCTTATCCTATACCCGTACTAAAGAGTCAATTGCGCTCGTAATAAAAATAATAAAAATAAATTCTAAATTGTAGCCATAAAAAAAAATTGAGAACAACTAAAATTATGGCCCGACGTTACAGACCATTTAAAATTATTTTTCATAAACAGGCACAAAAATAGTAAGACTGTTGATAAAAAAATAAGGGTTGCATTCTTTATGATCGAAACTACATACACTAGTTCCATATTTACATGAAAAGTGAAATGAAATTCATTTCATTGTAAAATATCAATTAGAACTTGAGACAAATTGCAAAGTTCGTTTTTGAGAGTGGACATTGAGAACGGATATCACCTCCTTCAAATGTTTATCCGCAGATAAACAAAACATGTGTTACTTATTTTTCCATGATCTAGAACATATCAAAAGAATATTGAAATCGGTGAGGTCGGGTTGTGTGGGGGTGGGGGGTTGTTCCTTGTTAGAAACGTGTTAATTTTGTGCGCGCATAAATAAAATCCATCAAATTTGCAAGGTTGAAAATTGTTTAAAATGTGAACAAACTATTTGTCCATCCATCCTTTTACGGCAGAAAATGTACTTACACAGAGAACCTTTGGCAAAGAAAAACGACTGTAAAGTAGAAGAAATAGGAAGAGGAGTTCGAACGAATAGCTACTTTAAATAGGATAGATCTACGTCGCGTAGTTAAGAAAGAGCCAGCAAAGGATACATAAGATGTAGAGTAGAAAGTATACAGAGTAGAGATTGATAGAAGTTGAGAGATTTACCGGGGCGATGCAAAAAAAGAAAACTATCGGGAAAATTATGGTACGTACAAACATATGCTTCCAGGAAGATTGATCTGTCGAATAAGCGGATTTTAGTCGTGCGGTTGTGGTCGTGATTTGCATACTTTTCGAGGAGTTGCGAAGAGGTCGTAGTCGAAAGAAAGAGAAGCGATATGACAAGGGCCAATAGCGAGCTGAAATTCCATTAACTAGTAGGCAGCCCGCTCGTTAATGCCTCACGTGCAAAGACGCCCCACGGAGCAGCTACACGTCCTAGTTACCGACTCGCGGATCAACTTATTCGGTATGGTTTCGGGCGAGATCCATTCGTACATGCTGGCAAGTCACCGTATCTGCTCTAGCTCGTTCAAAATATATGACTAATTGTTTGTTATATTTTGTTCGTGGATCTCCCGTAACAATACTGGCGACTGAGGTATCGATTTGTAACTTGGACCAGCACAAGTTTCATTGGAAGTGTATGTTGTAATATAAAAAGTTTTTTAAACCATTGGAAAAGTGCATGCGATACATAGAGCAGTTATACGGCTATGTAAGTAATCAATTTTTATCATCGAAGGACAATTGTAGAAAGCGAAAAACTCGATGAATAGCCGTATAATCATTCCAAAGTGTCAACTTAAAGCATAGGAGTGTCTACGAGAGGTGTGTGCTCGTGGGTGTGTGTACGTGTGTGTAAGCACTAACATTAAATGAAGAATGATGAAAGAGTGCTGCAAAAGCTATTGAAGGTGGAATATTAAAGACTGCAGTTATAACATATATAGAGAATCAAAGGTGCTTTCAATATATAGTCAAAGCAGAAGCTCGATAATATATAGAGTGAATGAAGTACTGAACACACAAGAAACTTTATTGCTGGAATAGACAAATAAATAATAGCACGAACTTGTGAATAATTTTGAATCGATAACTATAATTTTATAAAGATATAAATATATCTAGATTGAAGGAAAATAAAAACTATAGAGTGTAGAAAGTTGCGAAGTAAGTTCCTCAGCTCCATCGATTGCTAGCACCATGCTTATGGAGAAAGCACGTTACCTTTGTCCACGCCAAGTCACCATCGATTTTTTTCAATAATACGGGAAAAAACATTAAAATTCACACGATATCAGTGGCTTTCTTTCAACTACATCAATGTGTCGTTAATTCTTTTCTTTTTTACATTATTATTTTTTCGTTACCTATTACTATGTGCCTATAGAAATCGCAATGAACCTCTTACCTTCGACGCGTCACCGTAAGGAAAAAAATTTCCATATATCTTCTTGAACTCCTCGACGGTTAGATGTCCACTTGGGCAATCCTTCAGAAAGCCTTTGTACCATTCCTGGATTTCAGCATCTGTGAATGGCACATTGACTAGTCAAGCAACGGAACGACACTTACGTAAATTTAGCATAAATAACCATTCATCATACGTTGAAATTTGATTTTAAATAAAATCTAAGATTTACAAAAATTTCCAGCAAATACCAATGTTCGTAATTTTTTCAACTGAGATTAAGAATCGATACTGGAGACCTGAAATTTAGTGCTTTCAAATTTTATCCTACGTAGATTTTTATCAAATAGTAAGATCTAAATACAATTAATTATTCAAATTTTAGTCATATTGCAGTTTCTCTTGATTCAGTAGAATCTCATTGTTATTAAATCATGCTGAAGACGCAAATACATTGGTGCAGCTGGCTACCAAATAGGACACGGAAATGACAGTAAACCGAAAACGTAGAATTTGGTGGAGATAAAATTTATGAACGGTTAAAATTACTCTGCCGAGCACTATAATTTAAAATGGTCAAAGCTATTGTAGGAAAATATTTGATTACAATGAAGATGAAAAAAATTATTGCTGTCACGTAAGATAAATATTACTAGAAATTTATACACAGAAAAGTTAAAAATTAGTGCAAGATTTTCGGGTTTAGCCAGTTAAATAGCTCTTCCAGTTGAACAAGTATAAAGTTTGAAAAGATCGATCAATGGTATGATTAACAAACAAAAATAAAAAATATGAAATTTAGATTGTACAGACGCCCAACATAACTACACTAAAATCCGATTACATAGTTTCAACGGGATGAAGTCGGAACTAGGAAAAGCAGACCGCTAGTAAATTAATTAAAGTTTACAACGAAAAGGCTTTCGGCCTGCGGCGCTACATTCTCGATTAAACGGCCATTGAAAAGCAAAACAAGGCTTGAAATTGACAGAGACTGAAAATATTGTTATAATGAGAAATTGACTAAAATGTTATTTGTAGTCTTAACATTAAAATAAAATAAAGATTTTTGATTGAAATTTATTTCATATTCAGTAAAGCAACGTAAAATGATAGAGTAAAGTATGATTGAATGACTCATGTTCTTTTCGTTGTCTTTGTTTATTGAAGAAGTGAAAAATGTCACTTGAGATTTTAAGACAAAGGTTTTAGAGTATGTAAATAGTAATAAAAATCTGAAATCTACATCTTTGCGAAATGTTAATAACGTTATATTGAAATAATTATTTGATTCAACATCTGGATAATTTTGACCAGTCGGGTTAAGAACATTAACAATATTTTTAATCAAAATAAAATGCGAAAATTGTATTCCCATAAAAGTGGTATTGAATATTAGTTTTCGATTAAACTTTTATCGTGAAGAAAGAAAGAGATGTAGTGTTCAAAAGAACAAAAATAAGGGTAAAAGCTTGTGAACCGTAATTACTCGTTGACCAAACAAAATACATTCGAAGAGAATCAGCGAAGACGTCTGAAGGCTAAGCATGCGTGGAAAGAAGCTTGTGCGCGAAACGAGTGCCGAAGGATGAAAAGATTGATTACCTGAGAATTCGGTGCTCTGCTTAAGATCCTCGAGCACCTCAGGCTTGAGTTTGCTATTTTGTTTGCCCATGGCTACTGGCAGACGAGAGCTGCTGTTGGCTGCTAGAGAGTTAGCTGCCGGCACCTCTTGCCGTGCCGGCCTCCCCCCTTCTTGTCGAGTCGCGCTTTAGTGAGCCCCTCTGAGTTTCTTTCCCGCAACAGTTCACCTCGCCAGCTTACACCTACAATATTACAACCATCCAACGTACTTCACAACTTGTTCATTTCGTATTTAGCTTTCGATAATGCTCGTTGCTGCCCTTTTATTTCGCAAAATGGAATAGTTAAATCATTTTGTCACAAAAACAACATAATATTTGAGCATTTTAAGGTTGGAGTGTAAGGATAAAAGTTATGTAATCAGTCATACTTCACACATTCTCGTATCGTAGTTACCTAAAACAGAAAGAGGTTTGGCAATGGAATGAATTCAAATGTTAGAGCATAGTGCGATTTATTTATAATAATAATAGTAATTCATTATTGTTATTTTTCATAATCGTAATAATAATATCAATAATCATAAAATGTACAATCAACTATAATAGTAAACATAACGAATAATGATACATCAAGTTGTTGGCTGCAACGGCCATATACAAAACATTAATATTCGTGTGTTGATACGCAACGTAATTGCCACTTCACCATATTCTCGTCTATCTACCAATCTCATCGAGTTTTTTGTTTTGATTGACTCTGAGCGAATATATAACATTATTTCATGCTGTGAGACTGCCGTTAAGATCGATGAAAGAGGCATAGAATTGAGAAAAAGTGAAAGGATAAAAAGAGAGACGGTAAACGTTCTGGTCGTCACTGCGGGGACGAGTCTGACCAAACTCCAGTTGAGCTACTTAAAATATATAATCAGCGTATTTTTAAGTCTTATGATCTTTTGATAGCAATCTTGAATTAGAGTAGTATAGTATCGCAACACACGAGAAGAAACATTTCTTTCAATAATGCTAATGAAATCAGGTAGTCTATTAAAATATTCATCAAATACTGCAATTCTAATTAAAGATTAAAAATGGCATTACGACAATGTTTGATTACAGAAAAAAATGACCATTATAACAATTTTTTTCGAGTGGAACTCAACTGGAAGTGGCTCAAACCTCGAAATACGTATTGATATTTAATTTCACATAATAATTAACATGTGCCTATATACACGGGTGTATTATCGTATATACACATACACCAATTAGTGTAAATGATGAGTATCAATGTATTACGAAGAGTTTATCTGTTCTACAGAATTATTAAAATTAGTTTGTGCAGAACTGATTCTGTTCTGTGCTATTTGTTTCCGATTAGACACATAGTACAATTTAAAGAAGGTACCCACTTATAATATACTATAGTTAAATCTTATTTCAATGAATTTCTCTTTGAAAATAGCTAACTTTTATGAAGTACATATAGTGGCCCACATGCATTTTGCGTGGACAAGATAAGCCAAACAAAAATTAGTTTCCTAAAATGTATATACAATCATAAAAATATTACACATTTTATTTGATATATTTTTTCCAGGATGTTTTCAAACAATTTTGCATCAGCACTTACTTTACCGATTTCGACTAGATGTAGGTGTTTTCGCACAATTTTCAACTGATAAATTGCTGAGCATAGTCATACTGGATGAGATATTCGACAATTTATATGAAATGGAGTAAATGATTAAAGAAAAACGCTTGCTAATCTGCTTTTAATTAAATCTCTGCACGGTAAACCCATGTGTGTTTAAATTTAAACGTTTAAATTCAGCGACAATGTATTTCTTATGAGTGACGTTACAATTACATACTTAAAACGTTTAAATTTAAACACATAGGATTTTAAGGTTTTGCCGTGCTGAACAACGTAAAAAATCAACAATTGCCATTCAGTTATTATCTTACGCTAACTTCTTATCATAGGCAGTATATAGCAATGAAAATATTAACATAATCTAATTGTTTACATCTTTCTATCAATTATACAAAAGAAATATTTGAATAATAATTGCAATATGCTCATAACAAATTTTTTGGAAAAAAAATCTCTTTATGATGCTGCATTCACTGAGAATAAGGATTATCGGCATTTATCGATTAATATTTAACCACAAATCTTCTAATCGATTCACCAGATTATTAATTATAGAATATATTTTTATTCTCTATTGAGCGATGGCAGACATTTTTAACATTCATTATATCGATGAAAACCTTATCCAAAATTCATTCTTTACAGAGAGCGTGGAATGTTAATGAAAGGCAAACAATTCTTCCTTCTAAATTGAAATGACGGATAAAAAAACAATTAGATAATATATTTAGCAATATCGTATAGCTATCATGTTTTTTATATAATTTTAAAAATAATATTTCCATGAAAATTGTGGTGAAACGATCGTCAAACTTTTCTAAAGTTTATAATCTCTCTCGAGTGGAAGATAAATTCAGTTGCTTCATTGGTTTCAAATATATTCATTCAAGGCTCGGGTACAAATGAGCGTCAGTTTTGATATAATCAGTATACGTTTATACGTTGAGATGAATTTCAAAGTAAATTTCAGACGAGTAAAATAAAGATTTATAATCTCGAGATTTGTTATATTAAGTTAGAGTTGAGCATGAATGAAATAGTACGTAAAATTTATCTCAACTGAAATAAACAGTTGAAACGTAAATTATTTGTACATCAACAGAGAAATGTTTCACACACTGAGGCCAAAATCGACGCTACAACCTTTAATATAGTTTTGGTAAACTGTTCGCATCGCGTACCAAGCCATTTATGTGTAGCATACTCGAGGCCCTTAAGTACGCGCGCAACATAATTTTCATCATAATCAAGACAACTTTTAAGATACTTGTAATATTTTCTGTAGATTACATTACTTGAATGTAATTTCAACATTTAAATTTACAAAACTGTCTCGATGATAAATGACAGGGAAATAGTATGCTAGCAAATTATAAGTCTTGGTGGGAAAATAGTTTTTTCTTAATTTTAGAGGACACAAATGTGCTCAGTGGATGACATTACAGTAACAAAAAACTCTCGCTCACCTGGATAATAGTAGATTGTCAGTGTTAGGTATAATGTAAAGTAACTCCACAGACTTTTGTTTTCCAGAAAGTCGAGCAGCCAGTTAATTGCAAAACTCAAATTATTAAAGTCTTTATCCACTTTATCTTATTCCCGGCTGCGCGTTCTATTTATCGTCATTCTCTTCATTAGATCCAGCGTACTAATTACTTATTATCGCGGAACACTCATTTTTTTAAGCTTCCTTCCTGCCGGATTTAACTTCGCTGGCGTATCGCGCAAGCACGTAACGTAAGTATTTCTTTCTCCCACTCGCTTGTGTCCTTTTAATGGCTCTATTTACGTATCTGGCTCGGAGTATCAGCTTTCTCGGCGACACTTTTTTCTTTTTCATTAGAGGCCTTCCGAGTTGGCGAAATTACTTATTTGATCGGCAATACCGTTGCCGTCTAAGTCATTCTTGCTTTTTACGTTTTAATTGAGTCGATTTATTTAAATATAAGTCGAGCAGATGAGTGCTATTGACTTTTGGATTTCTTTAAATAGAAAAAAATTTTTACAGTCAACTATTTGTATTGATGAATGTATCATTTTTAATTAAAATTCATTTAAGGACAAAAAATCCAATAAGCAACATAAAATGTCGTTATAATTGATAAAAAATAAGAAACCGGAAATTTTTAGACTGCAAATATATCTAAATGACTTTATTGAGAAAAATGTGTAATATTTTATCACAAATTTTAGACTTGTTATTATAAAAAATACAAATGAGAGATAATTCACGGGAAAGTAAATTAAATTAAAATTCACTGAACTCATTGATTATTATAGTCTGTTTTTCTGTCAGAATCAGAGTAAATAACATATTTTTATAAGTGTGCAATGATGAGAAAATCATATAAATATGACATTATTTTCTTTAATCATGAGAAGTTATTTTTATCTTGCTGTAATTTGAAAGTGTGGAAAAAATAAAACAACGAGTAAAGGTAAAAAAGAAATTAAAATATCGACACCTTTTCTACATTTTTTTAAATTACAATGTTAAAAAGTCTGTCAAATGTACAAAAACACAAAAATCGAAATGCTGGAACCGATGGAATTGTTTTGTAACTGAATGATTAATAAATACATTTTGAAGACAATATGTATACAATATTGAAAAGAAAACGAACGGAAAATTATAATTAATTAAGTAAAACTAACTATGAGGAATATGAGATTCAAGATAAGGCTTATGAGTTGAAGAAGCAGAGTAGAAAAATACAAAGTACAAAAATGTGGAGCACAATCCATGTTGTGGATTAATGTTTTTTGCGCGTAATTACCCGTTTTCAACATCTATTTTGTAATTCGTGGGGAGTAAATAATCGATATTATTTCTCACAATAATGATTTTCACCCGAACTTCGTTTCTCTATATTTTTTTATGGCAGACTTTTATTTGCACGTGCAAAAGATTCGCGATAAAGGTTTCGATTGTCAATGCTCGACTTTCGGATGGATTGCCATGTGGCAATTCCTAGCTCTTGTTTGTAATTTCTTAATTTTTTTATTAATTCAGCCACATTCCATTACGGTTATTATGTGGTTTGACTGATTTTTCATGCGAAGATTAGTAAAAAACTTTTTTTTTGTATTGTTCATTCTTTTATTTAGAATAATACTAATTCTTCAGACAAAAGCATTTTCCCTTAGATGATCAATAAATTAAGCAAGTTTTTTGTGGTTTCAAGTACGGCAAAGATTGACATTGACAGAAACTGAAATTTCATTTCACTAATGCGCTCGAATAAAAATCGCATAGACACATAATATTTTATTCGAAAATGGTTCTCATTATCAATTTGATAAGAAAGCTATAAAGCTATATTGAAATTTAGAATTGATAATTTGTTCATGTGGTTGGTATTTGATATTCAAAATGCTCGAAATCAAAGGAAAAGCGACAGAGCATACGTTCTTCACTGGGAATTGACTTGAAAGTTTGATTACACTTATACTAAGTATAGCTTACAATCGATATTTTAACGATAGTTATAAGAAATGCATATTGTGTGTCAAACTACGATGATAGACGATAGATTTATTCGAGTAAGTCTACTTGATTTCGACAGAGAAATATTTCTAGCGTATTATACGTATCCACGATTATGCTCAAATATTCATATAGTTAGGTGTCACGTATGTGAAAGAACAAGATGATATGTATCTAACCTAAAGAAATGCGACAAGATATACTCCGACTGTTACACGCATCATTAGTTTTTCCTTCCATCGATCTGATTTTTCTGTCCAAGCCCAAATATAGTTCCTGAGACCCGAGCTCGATTCTTGAAAACTCGTTGAAATGAGTCGCAGAGAGCGAGTATTAAACCATTGTAAGTAATCGAACAGCTGAATTCGAGTGAAATAAGAGTTTTACATCTGCATGAAATTCGATTGTTCCAATTATTTTCATGGCGACGAGTGTAGTACAAGTGAAGTGATGCCGTTGTCGCGGGGCTAACGGGCGTCAATTAGAAATTCCGTTAAAAACCTTAGAAAGGCTTTGTAGGCAATAGTCGTCTTTGTTTCTGTGTCAGCGGTTCACCCGACGCTTTTAATTTGTCGAGCCAATCGATCGCTAGCGATGATTGTGTAATTGCAAGTTTCGGATTGCTTCATTAAAGTTGCCATACGATTCTTCGCCCAAATTAATTCTAATTAAATAGAAACAGCGGAGAATCAGTTAAAGCACCAAAAGGTTTGCGATTATATCGCTCGTGCTCTCATTAGTACAATCATATTTTCACTCGTCGTCGCTAGATCCTCTATTTATAACATGCACTTGGTCAAAGGCTATCACTAAATCTATTTTCGCACGCGTTTATTTTATTTTAAGTTGAGAGCCGATCATTTACGACAGATATTACACTCTATTACAGGAATAAGCCTAGCCCCGCTGAAATCTTTAAGCTGACATGGAGATACATTTTATAATTTTTGTTCGAGCTGATACACGCGATAACGACATTGCACGCCGAAAGAAACAGCCAAATGAAATATGTTCAGTCGCAGCTAGCTATCAGATATCAAAATGTAAAATACATTTGCGAGTTCCATAATAATAATACTCAAACGATAGAAAGTTTAAGTAACAATATCGTACAGCTCTTTGAGCAGTTATTACGATGTGAATTTCTTCTCTTCTAGATTATGCACTCGACAACTGAAAATACAAAACAATCGAAACTCATCAACGAAAATTGCCTTTTCGATGTTGATTATTTGCAGCTTTTATCCGATCGTACGCTCCTCCGATGTGAAATAAATTGCGTTGCGTTTTGTACCACCACGCTTACCGATTATCAGACACCAGCGAACAAGAAGACAAAAACTTTCGAAGCTTTGCTTATTTATGAATCGGCATCTGGTGGCAAAATTTTGCGACACGGCATTCTGATGTTTTTTTGCTCAACTGTCTCTTGGTGTTTTCTTAAACGAACAGCAAAATCGAAAGAACTCGTAACAAATTTATTCCTCTTTATTCTCTGCTAAATGTAGATCGTACATAAGAGCTAGAGTTGAAAGAAGTCTGTGGGAGGAGGAGAGGCGAGTACGTATACGCAATAAAGGAATAGGTCGAGCAGAACCGTTTGGGCCGATAGTCAGAGAAGCAGTCTGTTATTGATGCATGCGAGGATGCGTGACGCGCGTATAGCTGGCAAGTACATTCGTGTGTGTATGTATATGCAGATTAATTTACAACGGTCTGATCGAGAGATGGCTTTACAAAAATGCTCGTTACTTTTGGAAGCTATTCGCATCGGCTTGTCAACGTCGGTTTAGTAATGTACCTATATATTTATATATCGTTTATATAATATATCTTAATAATAGTAATGACAATAATACCAATAATAAAACTAATAATAATGCTGATCTAAGCGTCCGTAAGACGACAGCAGACCGGCTAAAAATCGATGTGCGTCACGTCAAGATAAGGAGTCTTTGTCTTACTGCACTATACATATATATATATATGAATATGTATATGTATATAACGTATGCAGGTATGCCTGAGACATTCTGTGGTATTTGTATGTAGTACGCATCGCGGTTACGAGAGCGGAAAACTGTTGCAATGGGGCGCGCGCGCAAGTGGCGCCTCGTCGTCCTCTTTGTTCTTTTTTTTTATTTTCTGTTTGCTTTTTATTATTTTTTTGATGGTGGCCTGTCTTTTTATCTGACCCGATGATCGAACTGATCGGCCAGATGTGTCGCGTGGTGACAGCGATGTTTTTGCCATTGTTGGATTAAGGCGCGAGCATCTTGGACAGCTCCTCGTCCTGGAGGCAACCCTTGAGAAACTCGTCCTGCGTGAGCTGGCCGTCGTTATTCTCATCCATCTTGGCGAATATGTTCTTGGCTCGCTCCTCTGCGCTGTCCGCCGGCCTGTTGCTCGAGCAAGCGCCCAGCATATCGTATATCGCCTGAAATCACAGTAAACACGCAAAGTTCACTCACGTTAATGCCTTACATTGATTCGTCAATACATGATACAAAAAAATTTTATATACTCATACACATGCATGTCACAGTAATTGATATTAAGATTACACGAAAGTGTTATTTGTACGCGAACTTTTTTTCCCGATAGACTATCAAGGCGCAAGCCACTATTTTTGCTTTTGCTGTATAGCTGGTCGGCACATAGGCTCATATTGATTTCGCATTCTATACACAAAAAGAGAACATCTCTCATCCAATTTATCTTTCAATATGAAAGAATCATTTTTCTCTCTTGTTTCCTTTTCCAGGCATTTTCGCGTGCATGTCTTTCCGCTCGCATATTTCAACTGTAGCCCTCCCTCCTCTCTCTCTTCTCTCTTTCTCTTCCTCTCTATATCACTTTCGATTGTTTCGTATAGTTAGCTAATTCCTAAATTATGTAGCGGCTTAATGGAATGTAAATTTTTTAGTGCAGTGTATCCTCGGATCTAACTTTATTACTTCATGTGCTATTTATTCGCGATCAAAAAAATAAACGCGATTTATGTGCGATTAGCCTCAGTAAAAAGCCTTTCAAACGCATATGCACCGAAATCATGCTGGGCACGGGGGCGGGAGCAGGGGGTTATCGAATGACGGTGCATCGTTCATCAAATGGCCGTGAAAGCCATCTATCATTCACAAGCACCAGGATATTTTCCAAAATTTATGGGGAGCTGCTTAAAAATCAAGCATACTTGTCTCGAAATGTTAGTCTTGCAGTGATCTGTTTAACTATTTTATAAATAATGTATATGTTCACACATGGCTACATGCTTCTTAAGGCTATAGAGAACGTAGACTAATGCGTATATGATACCTTGTGTACCTTCGTAGCGTTCAAAACGAGCATAGTTCTTGAAGTAACAATAACAGTAACAATAACAATAAAACGTTAACTTGCGCGGAATCAATATTGCTTATGAATAATTAAATTTTGGCTGTGGATGCTGCGTGAATCACTAGCTTACAGGAAAACGAGGTGCATTGACGTCAGGCGCGTGAACAATCTTTTCTAACGCCACGTGCTCTACTGAATAATACAAAAGAGGGATATTTCCTAGCAACTTCGAACTAACAACCAATGATACGAAAAATAATGAGGTAACGTGCGGATCTTTTCGTTATAGTATAAAGTCTGTAATATAATGTTAAAATGGGTGCTCTCGGTCGGAATAATTAATGACAGTTTACGGTTGAACGCGAACGCATATTTATCGAGGAGGCTATTTGAATTCATTGACAATAATTACTCGGGGAATTGGCTGTCGTTACTGTGTGCGCCACAAAGCCTACATGCACAGACTGCACACACAACCGAATGCTGATCAGGCGTAACGCTTTGGTAGAGGGCCTCAACTAAAGACCTGTGATACGCGCCCTGCTTCCTTAGCTTTGATCGTCAACAATGACAACTTACAGAATTCTAACGGTTGATTAATAATGTCGCTCTGTGTGTGACCTAATGATTATCAAAACTGATAATTACAGGTATTTACGCGAACACTTATTGTATCGTGGTGTCGCGTCACATTACTCGCGAGTCTGACCATATTTTGTGTTGTACTACTTACACGCCGTACATTACTTAGCTCGTCAAACTGATCGAAATAACCTCTTTACTTCATATTCGTTTACGCTTTCAAACACTACGAGTTCCTTACAAGATTGCTTTTATATAATGGTTGAACTCGAGTTTTGTGTTAGAATAAAAAGTTGCTGAGAGTGCTTTGTGATAACCTGTGCGTAGACTAGTGCCGCGGAAAAACTTTTGTCACTTACTCTTTTTGGCGGTACAATGCGGAAAAGTTTTCGACTGCGACCGAAGGCAATTGAAAAAAAGTAATTAGCGACAATTTCACAACTACACGGCTTTCAAAAAAAAAGTAAAAAAAAATGTTGCGACGCACACAGAATTGCATTTCTCATAATTCTCCACGCTGAGTAAGGCTTTTAAGCGCAATTTTCCGAAGCGACCGCTGCTCTATCACGACTGGTAGGCGTTGAATTTGCGAAGCGCAGCCACGCTAAATGTAACTAAATGGCCATATCGCGAGCTTTCCGCTATTTAAATTCACTTTTTTCTACTTTCAAAAGTGCTAATGGATTACAGAGGTTACTCAAAAGTACGTTGAAACCATTAGAGTAACACTAGACACAGATAATTTTCAATGTAAATAGTTTCGAGTAAATATCTTTGTCATCAATTACTATGGTTTTTATTTCAATAACAATTTTTAGAAGCGACGAATTTTGTAATATTTGTAACAACTATTTCAAAACCTACCCGGATTTTAAATCACGAATCTTTTATCTAACCTTTTATGGACGAATTACAAACATATAACCGGAAGAGGACCATTTTGGTTTAAGATTTTCCAATTGAATTCTTTGATATCTACATTTTTGAAAATGTAAAAATTAAATATTTATTAAAATGAAAATCAAATTTACCTGGACAATTTTCGTCATTTCCCCAATGTCTATAACACCATTGCCATCAACATCATACATCCTGAACGCCCATTTGAGCTTTTCCTCGGGCGTACCACTAGATGTGACGTCAATCGCTAGCAAAAATTCCTGTAACATAAATAACATTCACTGAACATTCATAATAATCACTAGTAGTGTTTCTATTAACGAGGAAATTACAGTAGTAAGTATAGTTTTTTTCATATTCAAATGAAAAATGTGAATTTATTTCTGAACAGCGTTGAATTAAAAGTAACCCAGGTACACATAGCCTTGAAAATCTTGCGTGACGGTAGATCGTATCCGTAAACGTATGTGCTTATGTAAGTAGTACTTACGAATGATTTCAATTTTGTACTTGTAAGGGGTGAGGTTTTAAGCAGAAGGTTCTATTATTGTTCTTTTTTGGTCTCTTTTTAATCAAGAGTAATCAACGATACAAATTTTAGCAATAATTTAATAAAAACTTAGTCTAAACAACGAGGAATAAAAAACCCCTGTGGAAAAAAAGCCTTCGTAGTTTTACAAGAATGGTACGATGTTCGTGCAAGCGATATAAACTCGAATAATCGCGGGGAAAACAACTTGCCTGCGTGAATGAAGGAGTCCTACCGCCGACTGACTTTTTCTTACTCTTACTCTAATTTTCGTTATCCCTGCGGCATGCCGAACTCCGAATTCGATTGTTCAATGCTAAAGTTGTCGCATGAGGATGTCGATTATTTATTTCATCGTAATTATTTCAGACACATTTTTTCATGAGTCGATAATATGATAGCTAACTAATAATACCGAAGTAATGAAGAAATATTAAAATTTTGTGGAGTCATTATCCCTCCTCATAGGTGATCCCGACTACAAAAAATTATCTAAAAAAATAAATACAACTTTGTATAAAATGGTGTTTCCACGAGACAACGGAGACGGCGACGTTCGTGCACAACTCGATCAACTTCGCTGCGATACTAAACGGCTCACTCAAAAACCCGTATGTAACAGCAACAACAGCAGCAAAATAACGCTAACAATGCAGTAGACCATGCAGTCAACGCAGCCAACCCGATCCTTGTCAATTACGCATCAGCAATTCATCGTGTTGCATTTTTAGAAAGACCGTCTGAGCATGAAGTTTGCACAGGTCGATTCACAATTCTTCATCTCCAACATCACAAATGAAGTAACGAAGTTTCATTACGTTATATCGTAACTTGAGGATATTATCAACAATCTTTCCATGAAAACTTCGTATATTTTTGACGCCTCAGAAGAACTGCGTATGAGACAGCTTCTCAGTAAAGAGAAACTCGGTGATCGTAAACTATCTCAGTTTCTCCGTCATCTTCGCAACGATTACGGATACGATTGCTATCTAGGATAACCTACTACGTAAACTCTAGCTCCGGCGTCTACCGTCTCAAGTTCAAGCTATTCTCACTCGTAGTCCGCCATTACGTTTGAGAAACTCTACGAGGTGGCGGATAAAATTATTAAAGTTGCAGCTCCTGTATTGATGCACGCTACCACAACTACAACCTCTGTCGAACAACAGCGCATTGATTTGCGCCATCGAAACTCTCATGAAACAAGTTGCAGAACTTTCAATGCGCGGTTCTTATGGTAATGAGAATCGTAGCCGCAGCAGAGGGCGTTGTCAGCCAAGCAACTTAAGACAAGATGCGAATCCTAGTTCTCGTATCTGCTGATACTAAGATAAGTTCCAGAAGAAGGTTAGGAAGTGCATCAAACCCTGCATTTACAAGTCGAAAAACCTCAGGATGGCGTCGAACGGTTCATCTTCGAATAGCCGTTTTTTCATCACTGATCAGATAACCAAACAAAATTTCTTAATCGACACTGGATCAGACATTTGTTGTTTTCCTCGTCGTTTTATTTACCAACGCTTTTCTGCCACCGATTTTGACTTAAGCGCAGCTAATAATAATAAGATAAAAACGTATGGTATACTTCTGTATGGTATATAAGAACAAAGCAAACCTTGAAGATAACCTGGATCTTTCTTCAAAGCAAATAAACTCGCGTGTATATCGGAAAGATAAAATATTACTGTAATTAATCGGTTTTTTTAATACGTTCAAATCGTTCAAATCTATAATTACGAAATAAAACATGAATCATTTACTAACATGTTATGAAATTAGCATGAAACACGAAAACAAATATGTTAAAAGTCAACTATCGTAAATTCCAGCAATAGCGCTACGTATTCCAGGAACATTTGTTCCCTCGTTACCGTCGTAAACATATCATAAAAAACAGTCCAAATGTATTAGATTCATAGAATATGTAAATGAAAAAAGTATTTACTGTATTAACTACAGTAATTTTAAATAAAATCGCAAGTGATTTATAATTATTTACATGTTAATTGAAGTTCTTATAAAGTTTAGAAATTGTATCATAGATTTTAAGTAGGCATAGTCCCACTTTAACCAGTCGTTTTATCTGACAAAGTTTTTATTTTATTGAGCCTCGCGAAATTGCATTCATTCCGTAACTTTGAAATCCAGTTAAAAGTCAATTATAAGACTGTTCTATTTGATAATTATATAAGCCAAGGCTGTAAAAGCCACTTTTAAAGAGTCTTATCAATATCTCCGTAATTTCTGAATAATTTTAATATTAAATGTTTATACTTTCATTTAGCTATCTGAACACTAGAAGTATATTAATTTTTCAATCAAATATTCATGAATATAATCTCGCTCAAGTACAAATTTAATTTACAAGTAAGTGCATTTTTCGAAAGTCAGCTATATATAATGGAAAGATGAGATATAAGCAGGCTATTTCAAGTTGCAATTATTTAAGAGGTTTCGTTAGTTGTTTGCTGTTTATTAGCATTTAAGTGGCTGTAGATTAACGTTTTAACATTTTAACAAGCTCAACTTTATTGAAACTCATGTTAAAGCTCGAATATGACTTAAGTATATTTCAAACTAGTTTTGGCATTAATTTCATCTGGCGTTTCTAATCAGAGTAAAGAGGTTGCTGTCAAAGTGTTGAAACAGCGTTCAATACTTTACTCTCTCTCTCTCTCTCTCTCTCTCTCTCTCTCTCTCTCTCTCTCTCTCTCTCTCTCTCTCTCTCTCTCTCTCTCTCTCTAGCCTACGGGGTTATACCCCATGGCTAAATAAAAAAAAAAAAAAAAATGGTTTAATCTCTCTCTCACGAGACAGACGTAACTGTAAGTAGGGATGTCGTGGACAATTTAGTGACATTATCCTGTCTTCGGTATTTGTGGCTGGAATGCGCCAAATTGTGGCTTTTTCCGAGTGAGTTTTCTAAATATCAACTCCTAAAAAGCTTGTATTGAGAGATTGACTGTTTCTTACGGATGGTACCACCTATCATTTCTTCAGAAATGCTGAGCCTTGGTTTGGTCCGATTATGAATGACAGATTCGTTAGAATATCTAAGTTTTCAGTAATGAGGGTGAATCACAATATAAGCGGAGATGGGGTTGCTCTCTTCATACGTAATGAATCCGAAATGAATGAATGAATTAGGTAAAAAAGCTGCCATTATCTACCACGCAAGGTTCTTTAAAGCATGGCATCCTAGACTACCTATTCTGTAGAGTAAAGTCAGGCGACTCTCCTCTTGTCCTCGTCGGGATCATATATTAACCGCTGAAGATACCCTTGCAACAAGGTAGTTATCTTTTTGATATTCTGCGATTATCCCGTTATCTCTGTAATGATTTTAGTCACAAAATCATTACGGGAGATCTCAGTGTGGACCTAACCTCTGGTTCGAATGATGTCATCATTACTCTTCTCCTAGGTCATCTTTTTAGAACTTGTATAACATGGCTCGACTAATCACGCTGCGAATTCGCATACTTGCATGGATATTACGATGAGTGATAAATGTAACATTATTAGAAATTAAAGAAATTAATAGATATTCAGTTTCGGCAAGCATGCTCTCCTATTAATAGTGTCTCTTTTCGCTATAGAGATTTTCTGAACATAAGCACCGAAAAAAAACTGAGTTATTGTCTGCTATGCTGCAACTAGTCATCTACTAATTCTGTTGAGGTGGATCTGAAGGGAACTGTTTGTTATCTGAATGCCAACTTGATAGAAACCTTCAATATCTTAGCTCCAAAAGACAATGTGTCCTAGAAAAAAGTATGCTTCCTCGTTTAGTCCAAAGCTAAAATGGCTTCTTATCAAGCGTGATGACATACATAGACGCTATAAGCGAATAAGGTAGGTGGAACATTTAGACGAGTTTTTCAGTAATGACGTCAATGCACGTTTGAAGCAAGAGCATAATAGTTTTCTTCAAGATCACATTTCTGGCTTTCTTGATGAAAGTAAAAAATTTGAAAGGAAATGCGGTGTCTTGATCTTTTGTTTGGAAGGAGCGAGGAGGAGCTTCATAGTTTGAGTCTGGATGAGCTGATCACTTAGTGAGGGTTCCAGTCTCGCCATTTGAAAATATGAATAGTGTGATGGAGGACATAGTGACTGTGATGTGGAAGATTTCACTTTTAAACCCGTCACCATTAATGACATTTTCCTTGCAATCCCTCAAGGGGTAATCGCGAAGGCTATTCCGGTGATTGGTAGATATATTGTATCGGTAATAAACTTCTCCTTTTCTCTGAATATCTTTCCTGAAGCCTAGAAGCGGACGCCGTTCATAGCCTCATACAGAGTAATACTATACTGTCAGCTTCGAACTGTCTGATAGCGCTGCTCTGCTTCCTATTCAAGATACTAGAAAAGCTATCCCATGACCAAATCATAAAGTATCTTAACTTGAAAAAATTTCTTGACACCCTTCAGACAGGCTTTTAATATAATTACAGTAGTACGCAGTCTGCGTTATTTAAACTGACACACGATATACGTATGGCCATTGACCAAAAGAGAATGACAATCTTACTCTTGTTTGATTTCAGCAAAGCTTTTGACACAATCGCACGCTTTAAATTACTACGCAAACTCTGCGCTCTTGATTTCACCAAATTGACTCTTCTGTAGATAATTTTGTATTTACGAGGTCGGATCTAGAGAGTAATCCTCAAGGACGGTAACTTAAACTGGAGGGGGACTAATCTGAATATATTATAGGCC